AGTCATGAAGAAAAAACAAAGTTTCTATCTCTCATGTTAGAGGGGATTGTCTATGCTAAATACCATATAAATTACTAACCACTCCCCAATATGTTTAGCAGTATAATATCTGTGGCTCAGTGTGTAAGCATAGCTGTTAGACAAATGTGGATTGAAATTTAGATTACTTAGCTTTTGCCACTTAAGATCTGCACATCCCCGGACAAGTTACTTATCTGTTATCTAATTTCAGTTTCTTTCTCTATGAAAGGGTGATAGAATAGGACCTATTGCTTTAATAGTAAGGATTAAATGGCATAATTCCAGGCGTAATGGAATTCCATTGGAACCTCAATCCTGATGAATGAATTCAATCCTGATGGACGAGCTTCCATTGGAACCTCAATCCTGATGAATGAATTCCATTGGAATTCCATGGTGTAAGCATTCAATATTCAACTATTATTATTATTATTGTTGTTGTTGTTTTTCTCTTTTCCAAGCGTACTGGAAACATCACTGGGGGAAAAAATTGTTGGAGGTAAAACTATCAGTGTTATCTGCTTCAACATCTATTTTTACCTCCTTTTCTACCATACAAATAGAAGACTTCTCCTGTTCAAGGCTGATCCTTCTCCTTTATTCTACATCCTATCACAAGAGAGAAGTTTATGAGTAGGTAGCCAGAGACATGCCAGCTACTATCGACAGCCCAATAGAGAACAGTTCTCTCCAACTGTTTTCTCCAAAATTCCCAGCTCCATAGGAATTTTGCTCTATCAATTATTCCTTTTTGACTTATTTCTTCTCCACTGGGATTTCGCCCCATTTGATAAAAAAAAAAAAAAAAAAAGCAAAACAAAACTCCATACTAAAATAATCCCCTCCTTGACTCCTCATTGGTAGTTCTCAAAATGTAAAGAGCTCTTATTTCTGAATCATCTGGGTGCTTGTTGGACTTACTAAACTAGCCAGATCCAGTAAGACATATATTGGTGCTTTTTAAGCTGCAGTCTAACAATTAGCCCAGGTGATTCTGATATGAAGTTGGAGAAAACTGTTCTCTATTGGGCTGTCTATTGTACCTGGCATGCCTCTGGCTACCTACTCATAACCTTCTCTCTGTGGATACTATGGGTATTTCACTTTCCCATGTTCCTCAAACTGTCAAGGGCACCAGTCACCATCCCCCTAACACATACTCTGATTTTATAGACCAAAAAACATAAAAGAGAAAAAGACTTCTGAATCTCTGTACCATAGGTGTATTCCACTCATGCCCACTCTACTTTTCCTCCTGCCAACATGGAAAATACATACTTTCTTCTTCTGAGGTTAATCATGACATTTCTGATCTTCTCCTACCCTCCTAAGCACTTCACTAGATCTATTTTCCTGTCACTCTATCTGCAGCCATATTTATATCAACATTTAAATCTTCAAAAGACAATCCTCCCTTAATTTCATGAATCAAACACCTCCAGCTACAACACTTATTCACCTCTTCTCAATTAAATGTCTTGAAGACGTCTATACTTACCTCTCACTCAGTTCCCACTTCTATTTAATTTCCACTCCACTATTTCACTGACACTGTCCTCACTAAAGTAATGAAAGAGTACTTTATTGTTTAATCCAGTGGACACTTGGGCTTTATATTACTTGACTCCTCATTTCCACCTGATACTGCTGTCTAGTCCTTTTTCTGAAAAACCTTTCTTCTCCTGGCTTCCTTGAATATAAAGACCTAGTCTTTATATTCTTTCTTTCTGCCACTCCTCACTGCATTCAGGTTTCTCTCTCTGTGCCCTTCCTTTAAATCAGCAGTTCTCAACCTCTGGGTCATGACCCCTTTGTAGCAATGAAAATACATCGCGGCATTAGGAAGGTTGAGAACCACTGCTTTAAATAGCGGTGTTCCTCAAAATCCTGTTTTAGTCCTCCTTTTCTCTCTCCCCATTCTACCCATTCAGTCTAGGAATCTTATGTACTCCTGTTGTTTCAATTATTAACTATGTGCCGAGGAGTCCTACATAAGTATTCCTATTCCAAACTTATTCTGAGCTCCAACCCACTTAATCAACTGTCTAAAGGCCATTTCTACAAATACCTCATGATCTACACATTCAAAATTAGCTTGCTCATTTCTGGTTTAACCTCTTTCCCAGGTGAATGTCATCATCTGCAAGTTGTCCAGGCCAGAAACTTAAGCATCATCCTTCCTCCCTCTCACTCTCTAATGTCATCCTTGACTCCTTCTCACCCTTACTCTCTACTGTTAACTATTTCCTAAATGTCTCCTACCCAGACTACTACAACAGCCTTCTGATGGCCCTTTCTCTTGTTTTGCTCCTTTCTAATCCAGAGTAATACCCTGGAGGAAAAGGATACAGGTACACTGCCCATCAGGCTCTATTTGCTGCAGTTAAATTTAAAATAATGCTCTAAGCTTCCCACAACAAAGGCAAAAATAAAAAGTAATCTTCATACTTTTTAATGCTTGTTCTAAAGCTAACACTTTAAACCAAATTTCTCAGGAGGAGATTTATATAGGAAGAAATAAGTGATACAATGGACAATGTCCTCAACAACATTCCTATAATATATCCTGCAATTCCATTCAGCAAGCATTTATGGAGTGTGTACCATGAGCCAGGCACTGGGTTCACCACTGGAAAAAAAACAGTGAATGCTGTTGTTTCTTATCTCATTTCAGGACTGAGACTGAGTTTTTGAATAATATTAAATGCAACCCTCTGACGACAACTTGGTGAGGGGAGAGCTTGTTTCCCAAGCCATCCCTGCCTGGTGGTTAAAACTAGGGTCAGAATAACAGCCACTCATTGTCTCCCCTCCCCACCCCAGGAACCCCCAGTCTGTCCCCAGAGTATGATCTCAGAACTTCCAGCCTCTTTTTTAATCTGCAGCTCACCACCATACAATACAGCACACACAGAACTGGCCTCTCCAAAGTCTGTCTTACATGTGCTGACAATACTTTCAACTACCATGTGGAATCTGTCATTTTTCAACATCACCTGCTCTGGCTTCCTTCGAAGTTCTGCTGCTAAGACATTCCCCAGCAATACATGAGCCCAGACAGGACCACTGCTATTGCTTGTACAGGTTAAAGGAGCCACTTGGGATGACTGTGGGTGACAGAGTACAGGGTGTGGACCAGGGTTGCTTTGTCCATTACTGCAGATGGTATTGGCACCCATTGCCTTGAAGCTGCTATGTTGTGTTAAAACTACCAAGGTGCTGAAGTGCCTCTCTGCACTGAAACTGTAAGATGTTTTCACTTAACTGTTGAGAAGAGCAATCTCAAACTGCTGAGGTTACATTTCATTACACAGGTTCCAAAGCAGTGTTGTCTGGCCCTCTAGTGCCTTACTGAGCCTATAGCAAAATAGTCTCTTGGTCTCCTTGGACTTTATCATAACAAAATACTGTCGACCTGAAAAGAAGAGGCTGAAGCACAAACTGTGATTTAAAGAGTTTATTTGAGTCAGAAAAAAGCTTCTAGGAAGATTCAGACCCAGACCCAAGTAATCTTAAATATGAGCTCCTTTGGTCTTCACTACAGGCAGTTTATTAAGGAAAAAAAAAAATGGAGGGACAGGGAGTGGGATACAAAATTCTGTAAGGAATTCTTATGATTTATGATTGGCTATACATGGTTAACTTATAGGGTGTGGGATATTGAGTAGAGCAAGGCATTATTAGATTAATGCACAGCTACTCATGGTAAGTGATAAATAACATAGCTTAAAAGGGGGGAAGCAGGAAAAAACTGCTATCTCATTTTAATGCCTCTATGGGACTAATAATTTGAAAGAGTTCATATTCCTCCTCAATACAACAGAGTGGGTGTCATATTCTACAGAAACTTACTTTTTCATAGTTATGGAAGCTGAAAGTCTGAGATCAGAGTGCCAGAGTGGTTGGGTTCTGGTGAAGCCTCTTTTCCTGGCTTGCAGTTGTCCCCTTCTTGCTGTGTGCTCACATAGCCTTTCCTCAGTACATGGGTGTGAAGAGAGAGCTCTCTCTTCCTCTTTTTATAAAGCTACTGATCCTATAAGATTAGGGCACTTATGACCCCATTTAATCTTAATCACATCCTAAAAGCCCTATCTCCAAATAGTAACATCGGGGGTTAAGGCTTCAATATATGAATGGGAGAAAGAGAAGCCCACAACTGAGCTTATAGCAAACAGTATTCAGTTTTTAATCACATCAGTACACACTGTAAGACTCCAAAAATTGAGTTCAGGGGAAAAAGTGGGACAATGTGCAGTGTTCCAAAATGACCCCCCCCCCCCCCCCACCAGGGAGCAATCAAAACTTTCCAGTTTGATGAACAGAATTTAGACTTAAGCCATTACATCTGGCCCGGTTTAATTCAAGATTTACAACAATGAAAGAAATGGTTAGACTCTCTACAAAGGCCTCTCCTCTCAACCTGGCCTTTGAGAGGGGCACATAAGGTTCTAATTCTGAGTTCTATTGTAAAGATCTGGAAACACAGACTTTGGATAGCCGTACATTCAATAGAAATTAGACCAGTAGGTGGTAAGGCTGGCGTTCCTCTGGGTAAACTAAGGTTCTCAGTCACTAGGACATCCGCAAGCAAGGCCTGGATTTTTCCCCAAGAAATATTCTGGATGTAAGTAAACACATGAGTAAGCTTAAAGTTCTACATGATTGCAAGGACTTACCCTGGACAATTTTTGTAAACATAGAAGGTGGATACTAAATGAAGACTAAATATAAAGTACCTAGTGTCATCCTTCGCAATGGGTTCTGGGCTCTTAGCTCCAGCAACCACATTTCCAGGACTCGAAGGAAGTCTTCTATACTCAACAGTAGACAAAAACTACTCCCCTCCATAACCTAATTCTACCCCTGTTCTCTAATTTTCTCCCTATCCCCTCCTGGCCAACTCGCTGGCCGTACATACTCACCTCTACCACTTCGCCGGCCCCAGCAAGGTGGTGACTGGCTGGTCCTGCCTGACGCAAGGCCGGCGGCGGGTGGCTGGGGCAGCTTTCCCCGGGCGCCCCGGTGCGCACGGCCTTATGGGAGTTGTAGTTCTCACCATTCCGAGCCTCCAGACTAGGCGTCCTCGCGGGACTCATCTTCCCGTGCTCCTCTGCGCGGCTCCGCTTGGAACAGGTCCCGGGGTGAGTAAGGAGGTGGGTGGGATCCTGCTCAGGGAAAAGTGGAAGCAAGTCGTCTGTGATAGTGGAGTCGCTACCACCAAGGAACTGGGGGCTGGTTCCTGTACGTACCTTCCAGAACGCTGGAGGCCAAACTTGAAATGCAAGTTTAAGGTTCCCTAGAGGGCGAAAGTTAGGGAGCTGAGTGCCCCCCCCCCCCAGCCCACTCGGTAGCGGTACCGACTCTGACCTGGTTAATACTTCCCGGGAGTAGTCACTGCTCCCACCTCCGCTTCTTGCCTCACCTTCCCACTCGGGATCTGCCTTAGGGCCGGGAGTCGCAGTGGTCCCGGCTTGTTTGGGCGCTGCATGGACGCTCTCGAGAGCTCCTGCGAACTTGAGGGCGGCTGCTGAGCCCCGAAGCCGCCGAGGGCTCCTGTTTGCCTGTGCAGCCACAACCCAGAGGGCAGCCGAAGGGCTGTCACCATGATGACCCATATCTTCCGAGCGCGCGTGTGGGCCCCGGTGGGCGTCCTGACTTCGCTGGCGTACTGCCTCCACCAGCGGCGGGTGGCCTTGGCTGAGCTACAGGGGGCCGACGGCCGGCACCGCGTGGAACGTAACCTGCTGGAGCTGAAAATGGTGCAGGTCGTGTTTCGACACGGGGCGCGGAGTCCTCTCAAACCGCTCCCGCAAGAGGAGCAGGTGAGAGGTCGGCCGGGCGGGGGGATCGTTGGGTGAGGACTGTGTGCCAGGACAGGGGCCTTGCACCTTCAGAGTTTCAGCCGCGCGGAGCGGGGCTCAGGCTGGGAATACTCGGAAAACTCCGCTAGCCACTATGCTACCCAGGCGGCGCCCCCCGCCGCCAGCACCTTCCCCGGAACTTCCGTGCAGATTTTGACTCAGGTGTAGGGTAAGGCCAGAGAGTCAGCATTTCTTACAAGTGTCCGGGTGAACTTGAGTACAAGGGTGCAGTGCCCTCCTGTGTTTCGACCTTTGTTACAAAGGTCCCTGTAACTTTTTGACAAGAACTACCTTAACTGGGATGACAATGTAGATAAGAGGTCAATGCCTTCGGAAACCAATTTTGAAACAGCTTTTTGTCCCACGGTTTGCTGAAGACCATTTTAGATCTCTTGATGGTTTTTTTGGTAGTATATGATATACCTTGGGGTTCTCCATTTCCATTTCAGGTTTTTAAACCTGCAGTGGAAGGTATTTGAGGTACGAAAAAAATATACTAGTCTGTGGTTATGTCTTAAAATCTGTCTGGTCTGCTTAGGATAATTATTACTAAAGCAACAAACAAATAATTAGGTTTTTCAAATGATTGCTTCCTGGATGTGACCTTTCATATTAGGAAGGACTAATAGAGGAATAGGCGACCTGAAATCCCCAGACATCCCCCCCGCCCATGTCACATTTACCTGTGGAGTGCTTTTGTGCGGTTAACCTTCCAGGTTGATGTTGCAGTAGGTAGAATGGGTTGTCCAAACCTAATAACAGATAAGCTCTTCACGATCACATCTGCTTTCCAGACATTCTCAGGGGTGTGTCTTCGTGTTGTACAACTGAAACCCAGTTTTAAAAGCTGGTCACACATGAAATCAAATATCTAAATCACTGCCCATATAAATAAATATGCTTGGTAGGCACTTGATTACCAGGTTTCTAGTTAGACTTTCTATGGCTATACTACTTTTCTCAGTCCCTTATTTTGGCTTTTTACATGAGATCATTAGATTTTCTTTATGATTTTGTACACACACAGCTCATCTCTCATGTGTACTCCTTCCCCATTCTTCTCTATTCTTATTACAGAAGGACTCGAAAATATTAATAATATATAGGAATATACACATGTTCATGATAAAGACAAAGTTATCAATGGTAGTGGAGAATAACACTTTGAATGTCTAGGCCTAGATCTGGTACATTATATATATTCCCTGAAGTTCCTGGAAAAATATTATTTTTCTTTCTCCTAAGCCAGAGGTATGATGGCTATCTTCTGCCTTTATGGTAGAAGGGACCGTTGGATCTTAGAATACCAGTTTCCTTCATCATTCTGTGTAGTCACAGAGTATGGAGCACTTGAGGCCATGGCCTGGCTTTGCAATTAGAGAAGGCACATTACCTCTCCTGCCTGTTCATATTCTCCAGACTTTAGGCAGATACTTTAAATGTTATCTAGTATAAAGTCTTATGCATAAAAGCCAGGGGTGGGACCAATTCTCTTCAATTTAGGCTATGAGGAAATGTCATCAGCCTCTTATAATTTGTTTCTGGATATTCTCTGTCAGGTTTTCTTTTTAAGATCCAATTAGATAGAGGTCGTTATTAGGATTTTCCAATCTTCCTGGTTCTACTATTAATTATAGTCAGAAGGGACTACCTGACAGTAATTCTAAAACTAAAATTGGCTTTGGTACATGTTTCCTGATCTCTGACTGGTTTGTAGATAAACATATGTGACAAGTCACTTCTTTCACTTATCTCACAAATCCTCAGAAAGTAGCGTTCTTTAAAACTAGATGTTTCATTGAGTTGTTTTCTTATGGTTTGAATGGCTCTTGGCTTAACCTATTTTGATAGAAGATTGTATCTATGCTTTGGAAATAAAATTATGGAACTTGGTTGGCTATTTTTTCTGATCATTAGGGTACATCCAAGTGCATTTTGAAAGAAGAGATTTGGCCTTTCCAGTTTCCTTCAGTTCTCCTGAAGGTGTGTGATGGCCACTGGTTACTCAGTTTTTATAAAGTAAAGTCCAGGCTGCCCCAGCTTCACTGTTGATTATGGCATTTGGGTCCTTATTTATTTGATAATATAGCCAACCTGGGAAGTATTATGTCACCATCTTTGTTGCTTAAAGCATATCCAAAGCTCAGAAGAGAGAAGGGATGTTCAGGAAGCATGCAGGAAGAATGTGCTAATCACTCCGTTTGTTCTTCTGGATCAGTGGTTCTTAACCTTAGCATAGCACTGAACTCAACTGGGAAGCTTTAAAAAATACTGATGCCTGGGTCTCCCTCTGAGAGATTCTGCTTTAATTGGCCAAGGGATCCAGACATTGTAAAAGCTTCTCTGGTAAGCTTTGGAATGATCTGGACTAGATAGCATTTAGAAAATGAAAGCCCAACCCAAGAAAGATCCAGATGTGATTAGCCCAGGATGGGGCTCAGGTAACAGTAGATTTTTTTAAAAATTTCCTAGTGATGCCAGTGTATAGCCAAGGTTTAAAACCATTGTTTTATCCTAAAATCTACACCTGGAAGGTTTTTTGTTTACTTTTATGTAGATTTTGTTCTTATACTGGAATGTAGTATATTGATCCCCACAGAGAATTGCTTGAAATGTGTTTGATAAAATGCTATCATTCTGTGTTGAGAAAACTAGGAGAATGATCCCACATTGCTGTGACTACTGAAAAGATGTTCATTATATTACTCTATCCTCTCTATAAGGACTCTTGGGAGCAATTTGTCTATTAGTATTACCAGTGGTATATGTCTCCTGAGCAGTTGGCTTGCTTTGTGTTTAAACTTGTCTAGCTGATCAAGTTTTTCTTTTTATATAAAAGCCGGAAAGCTTAGTGCCAAATCTGTGGCCCATAGATAAGTAAATGGATCTTTATGATGTCATTTTTTTTTTACCACTTATGTTAAGTATCTATTTTTGTTGTCCCTACATTAATTTGCTTTAGTTCTTGTTGCCTACTTTGAATTGGTTGTCTTAGTATATTTTCAGTTTTACCATCATCTACTTCATTACTACTTAAAGGTGGCGTATAATAAATAAAATAAGTAGAATTATCAAGTTAGTATTTGCCACTAACTTAGAAGCTGAAGAGCAGGAACAAGAATGAGAGTGTGTATGTGGGACATATGCCACAAATGAACCTTATAATCATCCTTTCTTGAAAACCTGGAAATGCGTGCTCTGTAGTTGGCATGCCCTGCACTTCAGGAGTTGTTTCCTAGGAAACACCGAAGGCCCTCTATTGGTAACTGTGCCTAACAGTAGGAGATTTCCCAGTGAGGCTGAGCGGCCTGGTGAACCAGGCCTCGTGCTGTTTCGGGAAAATCCCAGGACAGTACAGAAAAACTGCCCTCCAAACTGAGATGGTGCTAAGGGACCAAAGAAATGACCCAACCAATCCAGCTTACCAAGTTAGATGAGTTAGTTAGAGGTTACTTACACAGGACTCTCATTTCTAGAAAAGGTAGGAATCCATTTCTCACTCCTGGACAATGGCAGGAGTTCTTTGTTGCGTAAGATCTGCATCATTTGCCTGTTGTGGAACATTAAATTTCTTTTCTGGCAAATGGCACAGAGCACTCTCTCTCTCTGCATCATTATATATTTACATACAATACAGGTTAAGCATGCACAGAACCTCCCAGTAGGCAGGGACTTTAGGCAGCTTTAAACAGTTCAAACTGGTGTTAAGACTTATGACCACTTATGCAAAAGGAGCTACTTAAGAAAAGTAGAAGGGAAGAGGAGAGAGAGGGGTGGGGAGAGGGGATTTGGGAGAAGGGAAGGTATTGGGGGGAGGGACCTCACCTAATGTGCATGATGCAATGGTACATTTCAAAACTATTAAGAAATGAGTATAATTGTGATGTGTTACTTGGTTCAATGTAAATATTTAACATTGTATATTGAAGCAGTACCTGAACCCCCTAAATGCATCAATGTACAAAATTATGATTTAATAAAAAATAATTAATTATAAAAGAAAAAAACAGCCGGGGTTGTGGCGGGTGCCTGTAGTCCCAGCTACTCAGGAGGCTGAGGCAAGAGAATCGCCTAAGCAGAAGAGATGGAGGTTGCTGTGAGCTGTGATGCCACACACTCTACCAAGGGCGCCAAAGTGAAACTCTGTCTCAAAAAAAAAAAAAAAAAAAAAAAAAAAAAAAGGAAGGCTCACGAGGGATAGTGAGGACCAAGAGTTAGATGCTAGCTTGGAAGCCCGGAATTTACATCTTCTCTTCCCAGCTGTGCTCTGAACCTAAGATCTACAGTGACCAGCCATTCAGTGAATAAACATTGATTATTTGGATTTAAAAAAAAATACCCTTGGCTCGGCGCCTATAGCTCAACCGGCTAAGGCGCCAGCCACGTACACCTAAGGTGGCGGGTTCGAATCCCCAGCCCGGACCCGCCAAACAACAATGAAGGCTGCAACCAAAAAATAGCCGGGCGTTGTGGCGGGCGCCTGTGGTCCCAGCTACTTGGGAGGCGGAGGCAGGAGACTCGCTTGAGCCCAGGAGTTGGAGGTTGCTGTGAGCGGGATGCCATGGCACTCTACCCAGGGGGACAGCTTGAGGCTCTGTCTCAAAAAAAAAAAAAAAAAAAAAAAAATACCCTTTGTGGTTTGTGTTATATTTCTTTTAGCTTTTTTGTTTTGATTTATATTGCTAAGTTCCAAAGAAATCTGCACAAATTCTGTTAAACGTTAAAAGCCAGTGGCAGGGAACGTGTATTTCTCCTTCATGTGCCAGACTTTGTACTTACAAGGGTGGAGAATTTAGTCTCATCTTTAAAGGAGTTTGCAATGTGGTGAAGAAGGGAGAAAAAACAGATTTCACTTATAGGAATATGCTGGGAGCATGGGGAACACAAAGGAGGCATCTCAAAATATCTAAAACTGAACTCACCTTTCTACCTGTTCTTTTCTCTTGTTCTTAGTTTTAGTC